TCCTTATAGTAGAGTGTGATCATAGCGTGGCTTGTTTAAGTACAGAACACACAAGTCCTTTATTGCCATCCCCCCATTTACTAGCAATAATCCTAGATATCAAACTGCAGTAGATTCTGAATGCAAGTCAGTTTCGATAATGATGTACCATTGCTATCTAGATTTCTATTGCCTTACAACTTCATTGCTGTTTTGAAGCCCCAATTACATCCATTTTAGCTTCAATAATCAATTCACAAAGCAAACTGTGTTCGTTAAGAAGATGACTGTGTTGAGAAGATTAGATTAAAAAAAAAGAAAAAAGTTCTTTCTCCTCTGTTGCATCTTTGAATTGACTGCCATCAATGGCCAGAATTAGTAACCTCAAGAGGCAGCATATACCAGACAGAGTTTTTGCTCCCAAGGTGCAACATTATTATGTTGTGAGATATTTACAGAGCGGTTTATTTTGGGCTGGGTTAAATTAGCAACTTTGCTTTCAAAAATACCATCTCACTGATCAAGTCAAAGTACACACCAATCACAAGTGTGTCTTAGCTCTTATGTTGACCTTAATAAATCTTCAGAATTAATCAGAGAAACATATGGTATATTTTGTTCTTTTAACTCCATTTAACCAGCTCTCTCCCACACAAAATGTTTCTACATTTACGTACAGGTCCATTTTCAAAAAGAATTAATCCCTGGTTCTCTTGCTAAAGGGCAGAAGTTTGGCTCAGTGAATAAGTCAATGTATGCAGGCAACCTAGGTTCTGTTCTTGGTTCTGACTGTGATCTGGTATGTGGTTTTAAGTGAGTCACTCCTATCTTTTCCCATTGGCCTATTTGGACAGTATGCTCCTCAGGGCAGGGGACATATTGTACTCTATACAATGTCCCATACAATGGAGCTCTGTCCTGTGTGGTTGTTACCCTCTCATGTTGAATGGTACTTTATCAGCGAGCCCATCCACACATGGAAGTACTATTCACTATGGCTGTGTCTAGACTGGCAAGTTTTTCCGCAAAAGCACATGCTTTTGCGGAAAAACTTGCCAGCTGTCTACACTGGCTGCTTGAATTTCCGCAAGAACACTGATGATCTCATGTAAGATTGTCAGTGTTCTTGAGGAAATGCTATGCTGCTCCTGTTCGGGCAAAAGCCCTCTTGCGCAAATTCTTTTGCGCAAGAGGACCCGTGTAGACAATGCGGTATTGTTTTGCGCAAAAAAGCCCCAGTCGCGAAAATGGCGTTTGGGGCTTTCTTGCTCAAAACCATGTCTAGATTGGCACAGATGCTTTTCGGCAAAAAGTGCTTTTGCGGAAAAGCGTCCGTGCCAATCTAGACGCTCTTTTCCACAAATGCTTTTCTGTTAAAAGCATTTGCGGAAAATCATGCCAGTCTAGACGTAGCCTGTATATGAGTAATGGTATGAGCTCTGTATCTATGTTATTGTGCTATTTTGCTTGCATACCCGTCTGATCCCTATATTCAGTATAATTTATTTATAGATTTGTATACATGAAATCTGTCCTGGGAAGAATACATTGTAATCAGGACTTCAGGATCTGAGGAAATATGTTAACTAATATACTTTTTCATATTTAAAGATAATGAATGTCCTGAACCATGATATGGAAAATAGTTCACTTCACAGAAAATATAACAATTTATTGATCCACCCCTAATATGACACAATTTTTTGTTTATTTTCTTATTTACTTATGCATTTTGTTTTCTCCCCCCTTCGCTTATCATTTGATACAGGTCTGATGAATTTCTGAGAACTAACACTAAAAACCAAGAACTAATTTTTCAGGATGAAAGACTTTCAGTCATTGCGTACAATCTGCTGTAGCCTACTAAATATAATATATATATAGTTGTGTGTCTGATGCTGTACCTGTCTTTCTCTCTGCCTGAGAGTTCATTTGTTTAAGAACTTTTCCTAAACTATAAGAGCTATGATCACCAAATTGGGTATGCAGCTTTCTCTTATCCTAATTTAAAGCAAGGTTTCCTGGTTGCGCCAGGAAAACAGGACGTGCCTGGAATTTGACTCTTTTGCAAAAAATGGAAGGGGGGGGGTGAGTGGAGGGATCCAATCATCACAGTCACCACTGGGAGCAGTTGCACCACCAAGGGAGTGGTGATCTGGGAATGGGGCTCACCATCTTGTAGGTCAGTCTTCTAGCATAAGAATATTAGAAATGAACTCAATAGCTGAGGAATAGTCTGTGCATTAAGGAGTAAGGAGTCTGTCATCCTGCTGACAGCCATGTGGAGATTCACATAGCAAAGCCATCACACTGTGCTAATAGTGTCACTTATCCCACAGCCATTCCAGTGTCCCATATGCGGTCTCTGTCTGTGTGGGGGGTGAGTGTGTGCATGAGGGGAGTTGACAATGTGTGAGAGGAAACTGTAGGAGATGAAATCAATGTAATTTTTCACTTCTATTTCTTGCAATAGAAAACATGTAATAACAGAGTATAATTGAGGTCTTACAAGATTCTTTTTTTGTTAAAATGACTAATTAATTAAAAATCTAAAAATGGAGCTCTGAAAAAGGTGGTTTTTTTCATGAAAAAAGACAAGCAGTTGGAATGATATGAAATAGGAAATGATTGTTCTAAACAATTATCCTAAAAGCAAGTCAGATGATTACTTCATTATACAGTGGTTACTGTTAAAAAGAAACTTGAGCTTTTGAAGTACTTCCCTCTGTGTATAACTGTGGTAATTCATATCATGACACTTAGGATACGTCGACACTGCACACTTATTTCCAAATAAGCTATTCTAGAATAGTTATTCCAAAATAGCTTATTTCAAAATAGCATGTCCACACTGCAGGGAAGCCTCAAAATTAGTCCAAGGTAGGCTTCCCTATTGTAAACATGCTATCTCAATTTAGAGGCCCAGGAGACACTGGGGAGGAATAACTCAGAATGGCCCTGGTGAGGGGCTATGTTGAAATAGCAGCAGTGTAGCATCTACACACTCCGTATTTCAAAATAGCTATTTTGGAATAGGTGTTATTCCTCATAGAATGAGATTTACAGAAGTCAGAATAAGCTGTCCGTTATTTCAAAATCATTTCAAAAGTATTGTTACTTTTAGATAACTACTGTTATTTTAAAATAATGGTGCAGCGTTGTTGGGGGGCTTGTCCCCCCTCTCAGTTTTGCCACCAAGTCAATGCCCCTCTAGCAGGGTAAATATTGCTTTTGAGGCCTAGCCGCCCGGAGAAGCCTTTCCTGGATCAGGGGTTGATTGTCCAGGGTAGGGAGGAGGATGGTAGGGGAACCCGCTCCCCCCCACCAGGTTCCAGCCCAGGGCCCTTTAGGCAGGGACTATGGCTCCTGCCCGCTCGGCGGGGAATCTGGCCGATACACGCTGAGCTGCTCTATCAGTCCTTTGCCCTGGGCTGCTTCCTACCATGCCCTGGTTCCCCGGTAGTCTGTTTGCCTCGGAGTCAGTACTTGCCGGGGCTGGTGCTGGGGCTGCAGGCGCTCTGGTCTCCCAGGCAGGTGTGGCTGCTGCTTTTACTCCCAGGGTCCGTGCTCCCTTCCACCCTCCTGTTGCCTCCCCAAATGCAGGGCTTTCTCTTCTCTTATACTTGGGCTCTGCTGGCAGCATGCCCAGCAGGGCTGGATGGGCAGGGCCTTCTCAGTCAGCTAGGCGTGGGCTACTCCCTGCTCTTCAGTGTGGGACCTATCTGACCCGTCACAAGCGTAGACATACTCTTAGGGTATGTCTAGACTACATGCCTCTGCTGACTGAGACATGTAAATTAGGCATACTGACATAGTCAATGAAGTGGGGATTTAAATATCCCCACTTCATTACAATAAAAATGGCCACCGCATTGTGCCGGCTCAGCTGTTTGTTGGCATGAACCAGCAGTCAAGATGGGGATCGGTCGGTAAGGAAATGCCTCGTGCAACGAGGTTTACAGGATCGGTTGGCAAAGGCTTTCCTTGCCGACCGATCCCCGTCTTGTCTGCCGCTTTGTGCCAACAAACATTTGATTGCAAATGAAGCGTGGGATTTAAACATCCCGCGCTTCGTTAGCATGTTCCCGGGCAGTTGCCATTTTGGAAACTGACTAGCCTGGAATAACTGCCCGTGTCTACACGTGGCAGTCAAACGGGAGTTCGAAGTAAACCCCTAACTCGAATTAGCTGTTGCTCCTCATGGAATTTCGATCACCCTCATTAGCCTCCCTAGTTTGAAATAGGGGGCTAGTGTAGACGTACCCAGAGTGGCCACCAGGGCACCTGTGCTTTTTCCTTTTTCCTCTACTTTCAAAAGAATTCCCTCTTCTCCGTCCACACACACTTTTTCTGGAAGAGCTCTTTCGGAAAAAGGCTTCTTTCTCATAGAAAGAGATTTATCAATGTCAGAAAAAAAGCCTCTATTCTTCAGATTTTTTTTGTCGAAAGAACGTGATTGCAGTGTGGACATAAGTGAAGTTTTCTCAGAAAAATGGCTGTTTTTCTGAAAAAACTCTTTAGTGTAGCCTTAGTCTTAGCATCAAAGGAAAAATAATGCCTGCTTAGGGAGGTGTACCACCTTTTCATCACTTATTTTTTAAGGAACTTGATTGACATGTTTCAGAGAGATAGCTCTGTTTCAGCAAACACCAATGAAGAGTCCTGTGGCACCTTAAATATTAACACATTTATTAGGGCATAAGTTTTTGTGAGCTGCAGTCCACAAAAGCTTATGCCGTAATAAATTTTAGTTTTTAAATTTTTAATGTACCATAGAAAAATTGAGATGATCTTAATGGATGATTTCTGAAATAAAATCTCACAAATGTAAATTTTTATGGGTGTGGGAGGGAAGATTCGCTAAGTAAAATGGAACTAATATGATCTAGCTTTGGAAGACAATAATTTCTCCTTACTGCTTTGTATAATTTTTATTCTTGTATCTGTTGAAAGGTTATTATGGTACCACAAGATGGTACCACAAGAAAGCAAGACTGTTATGGAACAAAAATCTTCATGGTCCTGTTGTATAAATAATAGCAAGCAAAGGTGTCCTGAGTGAAATGAAAGCACAGTCACAAATGTGGAGAGAAGCTCAATATCAGATAGCCTCAGGATTAATTTGCAACTATTAGCATTTATCAATATTACTATTTAACTCTTGTATTGTGGTAGCACTTAGTGGCTTCAATCAGGACAGGGCACCGATATGTGCTAGACGCTATATTGAAACATAGCAAATTTGGGACCCTACTCGAAAGAGTTACTGTCTCAACACACTGCTGCAGGGATCAGCAAGATTAACCAATTCTTTATGCTGAAGATACAAATGGGACACTAACAGCCTTGAATCATGAATGTTTGTAGAACTTATTGAGATCCTTTCTGATTCCACTGCTCATTTTCCATTCCTCTGAATCATCTCTGTTCTACCTTTCCTATACCCCCCCTTCTTTCTTCTGCTTTCTGCTGTCATTGCTTCAAAACTGGCTCCCGTTTCTGTCCAAAAGGGTTTCTAGATTTAATGGGATAATAACAAAAGCATGAACCAGAAGTTGTCAAGTATTTTGGATTAAAATTGTGTCAGAGAGGCGGGACTCCCTTCTTGTGACTGGGCTTCTAGCTGTTAACATGCTGCGCGGATATTGCCTCTTAGGAGGTAAATAATAAGTGGGCATGGCAAAAGGAAAGCAGTGACAGCTCAGTGCGGTAGCTCTTGGTGGCTCTAAACTGAAGCATGGTTGCCTTCATCTTTGCTCTTATTCTTATTTGCAATAAAAGTTGTTTTAAAAGGATTATAAACTTTTGATATCGCTTTTCAACTATTGAATTAAAGCTAAAAAACCTGCTAAGGGAGGCGGGGAAGCCAGATTGGAGGGGGAGGAGGTGAGAGGTGGAAGCAGATAGAGGTGTATGGAGATGTCTCCAAAAGCCAAGAAACTTGTGTGGTTTTTTTAAGAGAGTAGGGAGAGGGAATTACAAGGAAGAAATAAGATTTGTATTTTCAGCTCATTCTCTCCTTGCAGTCATTTGCATCAGTTTTAATTTAGAATTATTTTTCTCTTATAAAAACACCAAATTATTTAATAAGCCATTATCTTATATTCATCTTTGGTAACAGTAATGCAACTCTTTTAGAATCACAATCAGGTATTTTAGGATGTGCCTATACAACACTGCTTCTGAAACACACGACTGTTGGCAGCATCTGATCTTTTGCATCATCACTAATAACCCACCAGAAAAGTGTGGTGATAGCTTAAGATGTCACATATACTGTCATGTCATGTCACATGGGGATAGATTGGTTCCCACTGAGTGTGTCTGATAGATTTGCTCCCATTGAGTGTGTTTCTGGAGACAGTAGCTAGAGGTTCAGTTCTATCTATCTCTAATATTAGATACAGAGAAGGCTCCTAATGGTTTTGGCAGATGAAGCTTGGCAGAATTATACTAGCTCTCTCACTTCTCCACACAAATCTCTTCACTAGCTTCTATATTTGTTTGATTCATCTGGCCATTAAATTAGTGTAGCAATTGTATAAGGTATGAAGCCTTCCTTACAATACTGAACTTGATTAGCTTCTTTTTGTAGAATCTGATTATGGGTATAATCTGGGCTAGTGTAGAACTCTCTGCAGGCTAAAGAATGCCACACCATAGCCCTGTGTCTTCTCACCTTCCATGTCCCTAATGTATGGAGAGTACTGGGAGAAGGGGGGTGGCAGAGTGTAGTTCCATTATGCCAGTCTTCTGCTGGTGTAGGGTTGATTACATGCCCTTTGCCACTAATGTATGTTAGGCCTAGTCTACTCTAGGAGGTTAGGTTGAAGTTAGCCATATTAGGTCATTTTTATAAAAAATGGGTCTATACTACCAAGCCTGTTCTACTAATTTTAAGGGCAGTTAAAGTGGATTTCTGTACTCCCTCTTGATGAGAGAATAATGCTAAATTTGACCTTGCATGGTCAACGTTGGGTTAGTGCAGACACAGTGCTGTTAAAGTCAATATTCTTGGACTCCAGAAGGGGTCCCACAGTGCCCCAATGTGACCGCTCTGGCTCAGGCATACAGGAAAAGCCACAGAGAAATTTTGAATTTCATTTTCTGTTTGGCCATTGTGGCAACCACAGGAGCAAGTTCAGCAGTACACTTGACCTTGAATGCCTAGAGTCATAAATAAGTTCCCGCATGATGGAGTATGCAGGAGATCCTGGATCTGATTGCTGTGTGGGGAGGGGAATCTGTGTAGTCAGAACTGCAAAGCAGAAAAAGAAGCACAGATATCTATACCAAGATCACACAGGCCATGGTGAAAAAAAAGAATATGCCAGGGATGCCCAGCAATGCTGCATGAAAATAAAGGAATTCAGGCAGGTGTACCAGGGCCTTATGCTGAACCATCTGCCCTTCTCATCACGTTCCATAGACTCCTTGTCCAGGCACCCTAGAATGTGAGGGAGACAGGGGAAGAAGAGAAGTCAAGAGCAGCTTTTCACTCATCTCCCAGGAATGTCTCCTGGAATGGAAGGCTGTCATTCCCTCAGCTCTTACTGCTACACGGGGGACTGTAATAAGCCACTTGCCTTTGTGCATGCTGCCCCCCCCCCCCATCAGGGCTCACACCCTGAACTCCTTTTCTGCCCTTGTTTCCCTGTGTTTCCTAAATAAAATTGCATGATTTCAGAACAACAAGATCTTTACTGTTTATGTCAACTATGTACATGCATGTGTATAGGGGCAGTCTACACACTAGGACTCATAACACTGGGGCACCTTGTTAAGAGCAACGCACATGACTGCCACATCACTGTCTGGTCATTCAGTAGCAAGATTTGTTCTGGACCTTTCTATGAAGGGATGTGCTGTGAATTCCCAAATTTTGTAAATTAATAGGTAAATAATCAAACATAGTAGGAAAAAAATGAAAAGGGATAAAAATCTACATGGTTCCTTTAGTTTGACAAATTTAATTTAGTTTTAATTGCCTTTATTTTATGGTACAGGATACTACCCCAGAGAGCTGAAGATCATGTCAGGCTTGATTTTTGCATCATTAACTCAGATCAGTAAAGCCTAATGTTGTAAGCCAGGATTATTCACTAATCTTAATATAATCTAATTAATAGTAGATGTCATTACAAGACAGCTTGTAGGGTCTGAAGCTCATTGAAATCAATGGAAAGATTCTAAGGTTATGTATACACAGAAATAGAACATCCACAGCTGCCCTATGCTGGCTGACTCAGGTTTGTGAGGGTCAGACTGAAGTGCTACAGGAATGCAGTGCAGACTTTTAAGTTCAGGCTAGAGCCCAGACTCTGGGACCCTTCTGCCTTGTGGAGTACCAATCCCAGGCTCTCGCTTGAGCCTGAACATTTACACTCCAATTTTATAGCCCTTGCAGCCTGAGGCCTGTGAGCTGGTTAGCTGACATGAAACCACCATGCGTGTTTTACTGCAGTGTAGACATACACTAAGGCTACGTCTACACTGGCGGCTTCTTGCGCAAGAACAATTGTTCTTGCGCAAAAACTTGCCAGGTGTCTACACTGCACGTGTGTTCTTGCGCAAGTAAATTTACAGTACAGCGTTGTAAAACAGGGCTCCTTCTGGAAGAGTTATTCCTCTCCCCACAAGGAATAAACCCTTTTGCACAAGAGCTCTTCCACAAGAGGGCAATGTAGACAGGCTACATGAATTTTTTGTGCAAGAAGCCCCTATGGTTAAAATGGCCATCAGAGCTTTCTTGCTCAAGAGAGTGTCCACACTGCCATAGATGCTCTTGCACAAAAACACATATCTTGTGCAAAAGCACATGCCAGTATAGACACGCTCTTGTGGAAGACTTTTTTGCACAAGAACTCTTCTGCAAAAGAGTTCTTGTGCAAGAAGCTGTCAGTATAGATATAGCCTAAGGGTTTGGATCTGGTCTTTAAAAGGTTTAGAGCTACTACAACAAATGTAGTTTGTACCTTTCACCATTTCTTAATGATGTATCTAGCTGCATTATGTGTTTTTCCTAATTATTTATGTTAGGTTTTGGTTTTATGAAGCTTACATACATGAAGCAGATTATTCGAATGAGCATAAGTAACAGATTGAAAAACGGGACGTTGACATGATATTCTCACTACTTGTACTTGTGGCAATATATTCCTTCTCAGTAAAGTACTAGCCACTTGCAGAACTATAATCTCACTTGGAAAGCTAGACTAGAATTCATTCTGTAAGGAGAGTAAATAGCTGTTGCAGGTTCCATCTAACAGATATTTATCTATAGCAGATTGAAGCCTTTTATGTTAATTATACACCAATAACTAAATTTGGCCTGCTAAGAACCACCATCACCTAAGATTTATGCTTATTTTTTTTGAAGGCTTGTTTGTGAGATGGCCCGTTTTCTGATTCAGAAAATGTTTTAAACCATAGATTAAATTATATTTAGGTCACATAGCTAAGCAAAAAATACAATTATTGTGCTCAGTCACAGTTTACAATTTATCTTTGGATCTGCTTTTTAAATGCACCTAGCCATAAATCTTAGGCCCCTATGAAAATGATTATAAACAATACACATAATTCATTGACCAGTAAAAATTATACTCCCACCCCATAAATTAAGTTATATTTCTTCCTGACAGACACCTCTATCAAGAAATGACAGATCATTCTGAAAATCATCTGCATCTGGATAGGCTAAATTAATGAGAGAAGTAAATACTTGAGCCAAGAGTCTCTCAGGGATGGCTCTCTGCTTCCAGTCCCCCAACGTTCAACTTAGGAGGAGGATAAAGGCCTGCTTCTCTTCTTTAAACCAGTGTTAATCACAAGTAACTCAGCTGAACATATTAATACTACACTGGTGTAAAACTGATCTGAGACTCGGGTCATAGCCTCTCCATAGCTCAAACTACCTAAGAATGTCATTGATTAGCATTATCACCTTGTATTGCACACAGAAGCAAGTAAGAAGCCAGTGCAGTTGTTAAAGAATGGGTGGAGCATGTGGCTAATGTTGCCAAACTAGCATCCAGCTGCATTTTACTCCTGCTGTAGCTTCCTTCAAAGAGTGCTCTGTATAGAACATTTGGTTGTAATCCTGTCTGGAGATCACAAAGGGAAGAATAAATATAAGGTTTTGCTTCATTATGGGTTCAGTTTTCCACCTTTACATACAATGAATGATGGTGTAAGTCATCACAAAAATCCTGCTTGGTTTTATAGTCCTGAGCATGCTATGACTGTAAAAGGAACCAGTGAGCTGTAAATACCCAACTATTTCTGGTGCTTATTGGGGATCACTGAAGCACAAACTGAGGTTTCTAAACATTCTCATGTTAGCTTCTTATAATAAACATTTACCTTCTCTGTTAGTGGCTGCATTTTACTATATTTTTTCTAGGAAATCTATCAAAACCATACAAAGCATTGGTCCTGCATGGACAACGATATTGGTAAATAGACTGAATATTCATTAGCCTGCTACAACTCAAATCGGCTGTTTCTTTTATTCAATAGCTCTGTGAACAAATCAGGATGAATAGTAACTCTAATGCTGTAGGAATAAAGGAATTAATCTTTAACAGACAGATTCAGGATAGAAAAAAAAACCATTTATTTGCACAGTCTGTTTCACAGCTGAGTTCATGTTTTAGTTTACACCATAAATAGGTAAGTTTGTTGGTCTCTGTCTCCTTGTAGAAACATGGATGATTGAGATGGAAAAGTCTTATTAGTTCATGTCTACTGCCCTTGCCAAAATAAAATATCCCCCTACAGGGGATGTGCTGTCCCTTGCTAACACTTGCTACATCAAAAACCACCATGTGACTTGGTACTACTGAATTTCTGACTTAGGTGTGGAATAATGGAGGTGTTGCTTTTTCAGGGAAAGGTGTATTGGTACTCCGGGGTTTAGTCCTGCAAACCACTAGGGCCTTCTCACACAAGTAGTCCCTAAGAACTTAATAGAACTACTCATGTGACTTAGTACCATTCATAGAGCATGAGCCTGCAGGAGTGGGGCCATCATATATTGCTGTATAGTGGGAAAGCCTGAGCTTGTGCAGTTCATGCGAATGTTTAGTGCTATTAATTATTCCTTTTTCTGAGAACCAAATTCAAACAGTTTTTCATTAGATACATACAAATATGACTTTCCATGTGGTGTGTCTAAAAAAACCCTCTGATGTAGCCCTTTTAAGATACAGTATCTCTCACATGGGGGCTTGGAATGCCAGGAAGCTCTCCAGGAATATATTTTTTTCTTTACCTCCCCTTTTCTTTTTCTCTGACTTTTCTAATCTGAGACAGCCGCTGAAGCAATAGGGTTCCCCTGTGTTCCACCATTTCCCATCTCTCTCTTCCATTTACTTTTTTTCCCTTTAATTTCCAGTTCCCATTTGATTAGTTGATGTCTATTTTTCTGCAGCAGAAATGTTATTGTGTGTGTGGTTTTTTGTTTTTGTTTTTTACAAAAGCATTAACAAAAATGGAGGCTACTGTTGTGACAGACTGACAACATTCTGCAGTATCTTTGACAAACTTTATGGAACTAAGATACATTTTACTGAATTACGTTAAACCCTTATTGAATTAGGCTTGATACCTTTGAAACCCATTGTAATAAAAAATTCACTTGTGTATGTTTCACTGTACAATTATATGTAACTTTTCTAAGGGATTGACTAAGGACTTCTTAGGATAATGTGAGTAAAATGGATTCTGCTCATCTGAGGAAGTGGGTTGTGCCCATAAAAGCTCATGATACTATATATATTTTTATTAGTCTCTTAGATGCTACAGGGCTACTCATTTTTTTAAAGTTACAGAATAACACAACTACCTCTCTAAGATTTGGAGGAGAGAGAAATGCAAATGATCAACTTCAAATCCATTTTTTTGAAACTACACCCAGGGGAGAGAAATGATTACCTGTTCCTGGAAACTCCAAATCAAAGACTCATGAGCTGTATAAAGGGTGGACTAAGCATGTCATGAGAATGCTTGTTTTGAACTGAAGCTGTGACGATCTTGAAACTACAAGGAACACCTTGGGTGGGGTTTTGCATGACTGCTCCTACCAGAGTTCATGTTAATGTTGGGATGATGTCTGATAATCTTATTAGCATGCATGTAGCATTCTTTTATTGTTTTATTATGTTTTCTCTGCAGTGTTTTTACCTTATGTATAAAGTAGGCTTGCATAGGAAGTGCTGTGTGCTATCATATATGAATGAGCAATTACTCTGTTATTTGTTTCTTGAGAGAAAGCAAGAGACAGTTTAGGCTGAGTCTCTTGTCGAAATTAGGTAATATAGGTGCAGTTGGTATGAACTGTGACAAGGATATTTGTAGATAATATCCCTTCTGCAGAAAAAAAATCCTTCAAATAAGGGTTGCAGCTGGCCCTTTATAAAAATTTCTGAGGTAGAAGCAAGTCTTCCTTCACGTTAGGGAGCTGAGGATCTGCATGGATCTAGGGCCAGATGTTTGCCTATGTGGAAATCCAGCTGAAGAAGGATATTAGAAATCTGAAACAAAAAACAGGACTATGTAGCACTTTAAAGACTAGCAAGATTGTTTATTAGGTGATGGCTTTCGTGGGCCAGACCCACTTCCTCAGATCAAATTGTGGAAGAAAATAGGCATGACCATATATACCAAAGGGATACAATCAAAAAAAGTGAACACATAGGCTGTGTCTAGATTGGCATGATTTTCTGGAAATGCTTTTAACGGAAAAGTTTTCCGTTAAAAGCATTTTCAGAACAAAGCGTCTAGATTGGCACGGACTCTTTTCCGCAAAAGCACTTTTTGTGGAAAAGCATCCATGCCAATCTAGACGCGCTTTTCCCTGTTTTAATGCCTACCATTCATTCATACACATCTGAAGTATCCCCCATTATGTGGGCCATCTCTCAATTGACACCCTCTGTCATGCACATAAGAAAGGGCATTGTCTTAACAACTTGATTACCTGCATACTGCTTCAAAGGCATTTTAACACCAGACTTGAAAGAGAAACCTCTGAACTGTCATTCATGCTTAAATTTGACACTTTACGTCAGGGTCTTAACAAAGACACTAATTATCTTACCCATTACAAAGATAGCTTCCCCAATTATCACCTCTAATATCATTAGCTCACAGACATTTACCTCCCCTCCTCCCATCTCTCCTCTGTTCTGAAATTTGATTTGTCCTTTTTATATGTATTCACTTTTTTTTTATTGTATCCCTTTGGTATATATGGTCATGCCTATTTTCTTCCACAATTTGATCTGAGGAAGTGGGTCTGGCCCACAAAAGCTCATCACCTAATAAACCATCTTGTTAGTCTTTAAAGTGCTACATAGTCCTGTTTTTTGTTTCAGCTAGACAAGACTAACACGGCTACATCTCTATCATGAATCTGGTTAGAGTGCCTTGATTGTCAGGGTGAAACTGCCCTAGCCGAAATGCAAGTTAGGACAGCTTTGTGGCTCTTCTAAATTGTGACAACCAGCTGTAATCCCTAACATCCATACACCAGCTGAGATTTTCCCACTTCCCACCCCCAACATACTCTGTTTGCTGGAGTGAAGAGTCATAGATGTCCTAGGAGCTGGTTTTGTCAATTTTCATCCGTCAGAAAACTCCTTTCTCAATAAAACAGCTGTGGCCAGATTATGACTTTTTTTTGTACCATACAGGTAGCCCAAAGATGATGAATCTGAAAGAGAAAATTTTATCTGTGTGTTGATGGAGTTTTAAATCCCTTTTTGTTGCATCTGTTAACTATTTACACATGAATATTTATTGTTTGATTGCCAGTGATGATGGATACAAAGAGTACAACCATCTGTCCAAATAGGATCATGGTATACACATGTCAAACTAGGTGCCTGGTGTGATCCACTTATGGCTGACCATACCAATTCAAGAGCAACACAAATAGTTACAAATTTCATGGATCTATGTTTTGTGTGAATTGGAGTCCAAGATCACAGCAGGCTTCCATCTCCTGGATCAAAGCTGCTTCACTTGTGCTGCTCCTAGTGCCAAATATTTCCTCCAAATTGGCTGAGATTTTGCATGCTCCTCCTTATTTTCTACATTGATGTAGAATGATTTCATATAATTTTTGCATGCATCTTGGTACTGCCACTAAGGGGGATACCATTTTCTAGTACTACCCCAAACCTTGCTGTACACAATATGCTTGGAGAGGTGGGCTACTGTTTTCCTGACATGACTGAACCATCACAGCCTTCTCTTCTTGATAGTGGTTTCTAAGTGTACAGGGTACACCTACACCACAGGCTTTTTCCGCAAGAAGCTTTTTGTGGAAGAGATCTTCCTCAATAACTTCTTGTGCAAACATGCGTCCACACTGCAAAAGCATAACGCAAAAGCGATGCGCTTTTGTGCAAGAGAGCGTCCACACTGCATGGACGCTCTAGCACAAGAAAGCTCTGATGGCCATTAACAGAATGGCCATCAGAGCACCTGTGCTTTTTTGATAGGCTCTTTTTGAGCAAGAAACCCCTGTTGAGCGACCACACACACCTTTTTGCACAAGAACTCTTGTACAAAAAGGAGTTATTCCTCATAGAAAGAGGTATACCTAGTGCTTTTATTGCACCGCCAGACGTAGTATCAGTGCCTCCAGTCAGAGCTCAACAACTTTTCCCCTGCAGTACTGGCACATTTTTTTATTATTACAAAAAAAGCACTGGGTATACCTATACAACAAAAGCCCTCTGTTCTGCCATTCTACTGTAAATTTTCTTGCGCAAAAATGTGCTTGAGGTGTGGTTGCTCCATGGCTGTGTCTACACTGCACCCCTTTTCCGGAAAAGGGATACAGATGAGACAAGTCAGAATTGCAAATGAAGCGGGGATTTAAATTTTCCCCGCTTCATTTGTATAAACATGGCTGCTGCTTTTTTCCGGCTCTGGGCTTTGCAGCAGAAAAGCGCCAGTCTAGACGGGATCTTTTGGAAAATAAAGCCTTTTCTGGAAGATCCCTTATTCCTCCTGCATCCCTTTTCCGGAATGCAGTGTAGACACAGCCCATGGGTTTTTGCACAAAAACCCTGTAGAGTAGACGTAGCCCTAGTCAGTCCTGCATACTCCAGCATCTCTGTGTTTGTATGCTGTCTTCCCACTTTATTTTTAGAATCACACACCGGCATCTCATGTGGAAGTCGCTCAGTCTCCTGACATGGCTGGCATATGTAGTCCTTGTTTCTGAACTAGAGAGCAAGGATGATAGCACACAAGTCTGATAGATTTGTATTTTTTACTTGATAGTTTGCTGTTATTCCATACATGTCAATTCTTAGCTACTTTAATTCTATAGTCAGTTCAATTAGCAGATCAAGATTTCTGCTAATCCTAGAACACAAATAACAACAGCAGATGCTTCCAAGAGATTTAGCTTCCAGAGTGATGTCAGGCATTGGTTGTTCCACCCCTTGGTACATGACAACCATCTTCTCAAAATTAATTATATTTTCTAATAAAAAAATTAGGGCATTAGACTAATGTGTGGCCTGGTAACATTTTATTCTATTAGACAAACTAATCAGCAAACTTCTAAAGAGTCAAAACATCTAGACACTTCTGTGGTAATAGTGAACTATGCAAAGTTTGGAAAAATGCTGTGTATATTATAACAGAGATTATAATAATGAGCGGGAAAGTGTTTTATCCGGTTTAGGACCCAATCCCGTAACCTTTTACATATGCCCAACTCACACTAACATAAATGTGTCTTGTGGGTATAGAAAGACTATCTAGTTAAGGCCCTTTGAGATTATAATGTAAGGAATACTATAGCAGGTCTTCCAGTTTTGATCAATGTTATTTCCATTCTTGCATACTTTAGTTCCCTTTGTTATAAAGCTAATCACAGTTCCACACATTCTGTCTCAGCAGTAATTAAGAATTAAGCAACAAAACCTAATACATCATCCATTGCTTTGGGATTCAGTTTTCTGACAAGGAAGAAAGTTCACTGCAAAGGTACAATATTCAGCAATCAATTATATTCCTGAACAAATGGTAGCATACCTGTGAAACAAAAAAGAAATGGTGAAAGTGCTTCATTTCGAGAACAACGTTCTAACTTTTAACTTAAAAAGGAAACTCACTGAAAAACCTCAGGTACCTTTTCATACTGACAACAAATGGAAAAATGTGCCCAGTACTTGCTATTTCTTTATTTAGGGGTATCTTATTTATTTATGTCACCGTAGGAACTAGAAACCCACATCATGCACCAAGCCCCATTGTCTTGTGTGTTGTACAAGCATAAAACAAAGACAGTCCCTTTCCAAAAGATTTTACGTCTGATGGATACAGTCAGATGATACTGGTAAGCATAGTAGGCAGTGGTCTCAGCATGCCAGCAGTCCTGGATGGATTGATTTAAATCAAAGCTATTTAAAACATTGATTTTAATAATGATTGAAATCAGCTAACAGAAAACTTAACATACATTTATTCCTATTTTTAATTTTTAATTATTTTGGAGTTTTTACAAGATTTACTTGTGATTTGTGTCAAGTTCTATTTGGATGGGAATGCATAATCAACTAAAATTAAAGCTTTTAATTAAAGCTACCTGAAATGTGATGGAAACTAACTGATTTATTAAACAAAGGAAGTATTATCTAGAGTTAGTTAATTGAACTGGTTATTTCTAGACACTTTCTAGTCATTCAGAATTTTAGAACTAGAAGATATCATCCTTTCATACTTAGTTTTTATTCATATATTGGTAGACAAAAACAGGATTTCTTGCTTCAACTTAAAATTGGTTTATTAACTTTGAACGATGTCATCATTGAGCCAATCAAATAAACTAGAATGAAAAATATATTCATTCTGTGTGTGCAGAAGAGGCTACTTCTGTCAAAAGCTGAGTGAGCACTTCACCAAACTCTGGTTCTAGGAGCTCAGCTAGTGATTTTAACCATTTCTGTGATTGGACTTTCTTTAAAACTTAGCAGGAAAAATGTACTAATTTTTTTTTGTATTTAATGTCAATGATTTTAATAAATCACACTGGGAACCTAAACTTAACTAATCAAATTAAAATGTACTTTTAAATAAAATGTATTTAAAAATCCATGGAATTAATTGAAATGAAAAAATCCAATTTAAACAGCCCCCCATTTTTTTATTAAAAAAAGCATCAAGATTTATCCACCCTGCAGCAGCATAAAATCCTGTCAACTTTATTTTAAGGAAGGCTTTGAAGAAATGTAATAAATTAGCTTTGTGGATGTTAATGGAAAGCTCCTCCCAATTGTGAGGAACAGTAGGGAAGAATGCACAAAGATTTTTTTTTTTTAAATTTACCAATTGGGCAAACAGATTGGAGGTGAGCACTGCAGTTCAAAAGCAAGTGAGAGATAATAGAGGAATGTGTGTATGGGGTGGGAATAGCTTGTGAAAGTCCTTGAAAGTGATGACAAGCAGCTTGTGTTTGATATGATAGAGTATAGAGAGCTAGTGGAGTGATACAAAGAGAGGGGGGACATGGTCAAAGTAATGGACAAGAAAAATGGTCTTTGCAAGCAGTATTCTGAATGGATATGTATGGTAGCACTGAAATTGTAAAGATCAGGAGAGAATGTTACACTAATCAAGATGTGGACGAAAGCTTTGGCTGTGTGGACGGATAGGAATGGCTTGATAATATTGGCTAAGGTGTAGTGTGCTATAGGTCCTGCACTGATTTATGAGCAATTGTTAATGACTTGTTGAAGTGGCTTCAGTAAATCACCACAATGCTATATTTTCTTGTTTGCTCTGTCAGCGCTCATCGTGGCATTTAGTTTGTTGCTTCAGAGAAGTATGGAATATATAGTTGGTGATGCTTAATAATGACAGATCATGAAAACGTGCCCTATGGTCCATAATATGCAAAACATATATTACACTTGAATGTAAATTTTCTTCATTATGTCTGCTCAGAACCGAAGCTTTATGATGAACTCTGTGGCTATTTTGATTTTCCTTCTGCACCCAAGAGCAACCCTCCATGACCAGTGATGTTTGGTAGGAGGATGTGGGATCACATTTTGCCAGGGATTGCTGGACCAGTCACATTGTGCAGCTAGGGCCCTTCCCAACATGCCAGCTGTTGGAGCCAGTGAGCTGCAGCTGTGGTGGGAAATAGCAGCAAATTTCTGGAAGCTGCAGGGAGATCTTTTGCTGCTTTTGCCTTTTCTCACTGAGCTAAAGCAGCAGGCACTATCCATAGCTCCCAGCTCTGTGCTGCTGCCTCTCCCTGCAGAGCTAGCACCTGGGAATTGTAGGGAGGGATCACTGACGGTTAGCACGGGAAGCATGATTCAAACTGTGTGTGTGTGTGTGTGTGTGTGTGTGTGTGTAGAATGGGGCAACCTTTACATCGTACTCTTCTCCCACTCTCAGCAAATACTAGTCATCTCTAGAGAAGTCCCTTGCCCTACCACCCTGCCGCAGGGCTGAAACCCAGAGCTCTTTCTCCTCTCACTGCAATCTTGGAGGCAGAGAGCAAGTCAAACTGTAAAAGAACTACATGTGGCTCTCAAAGTGATGATTAGGCCACCCCTTCCATGTGGACTCAGAATGGGAGAAGAGGACTCAGCCAGTGAATCACATGGTAACTAACAGCTGTAGCCTCCGCTCACAGATCCTTTTAGTAGGTAGGTCATTTACAAGTGGCCACAGGAAAAAGTAAATCCAAGTGAGGCAGTGACAGAATTTATGATGGGGGTAATTAAACACTCAACTGTCTTTATTCAGATAGAAATACCCTATTTGTACACACACAACCATTCATAATAATTGTACTTGCACTCTAACCATGTGATGCCACATGTATTCAGCCCTTCCTGCTTTGAGCTGAGTTAGATACATCTCCTGAAAGCAGTCCCAGCAAACACACCCATATACTTTTAATCATAGCAATGCAAATTTCACCACCATTAGAAAAGTCAGGTGATATGATGAGAGGGCAGATATAGCACAAATGTGTGTATCTAGTTTTGGTCTATTTCATAGTTTACAATTAAAGTGGTTTTTTTCACCTGAATTTCCAACACAACAAAATGGCTCATTCTCCCTGATCTATGAGTTTGGGGAAAACTAAATGAGGTTTCTCCTCACTCCCTTTTGTCTTTTGCTAGAACTTTTTCTCTGTCTGAAAGGACAATGTAGCCCTTTGTTCTTCTACTATCCAGCAAAAGGTCTGCCTCTGACTCCAGGAGCACCTCCAGACTAAGTGAGGTAGAATGAATTAGGCTTTTTTTAAATGTTCCTATTTTTGCTCTGCTATTGCAATTTTCAATAGGTGTTACAGTAAGTTTACTAATAAAATGTTTCATTTGCACCAGTGCACTACAGATTTAATACTGAAAATTTTTTTTGATGTGCTTCAGAAGTCTGTATTACCCAGATCTCTTTTAATTGGTGAAAGAGAATGCTGAGTATGGATGGCAGATGTGTTCTTAATTAATATCCTACTGGGTTAATCAGCAGAACCTTGGGAGCTGCTATAAGACTTTTGATGTACTCAGAAAATCTTAGCCTTGATCTATAGACTTCTTTTTAAACTACACTCAACTGTTCTTTTTGACTATGTGATACTTGCAAATAGTAAACAGACTTTAGTCAAGAGTTGTTGTTTTGTATAATCTAATTTTGAATGCTTCTGTTACATTTGTGTCCAAAATTTAGTCATTGTTGCATGTAAACTGAGCTTCTTCACTAAACATGTGACTGAGCTATTTCTTGAAAATGTTAATAAAAAATTGTAGTGGTATATTTTTCAAATTGTAAGTAAACCAATTACACTAGAACTCCAGGCCATAATTTTTGTTACTGTTGTAAAACTATGCTTTATTGTATGTGGCTTTGATACACATAAATGTTGTAACTCATGGACTAACAGCACTAGAACCAAGTGTGCTCCCTCAGCAAGTTTTCCTGCCCAGCTCTGGGGTTACTGCAAATGAGATTACAATGCTCTCTTTTATTACAACAATATTTGTGATGATTTGTAAAGTAGGAAAATCTCCAAAAAGTTGAGAAAATGTGATTAAAAAGGATTTTAACTTAAATCTCTGCAGGCAAAAAGACCCTATTAACTCCTTGTTATCAATCTCATTTTCTTTTCTCCTCACTGTTTTCTATATCAAAATTTCAAAATTCTGTCTTGAGATATGCACATGTGGCAACTCATGTAAAACCATTGGCTGTGTCTTGACTGCATTCATTTTCCGAAAAAGGGATGCAAATTAGACATATCACAATTGCAAATGAAGTGAAAATTTAAATCCCCCCTGCTTCATTAGCATAAAAATGGCTGCCGCTTTTTTCTGGCTCAGAGCTTTGCCGGAAAAAAGCGCCAGTCTAGATGCAGATCTTTTGGAAAATAAAGCCTTTTCCGAAAGAGCCCTTATTCCTTATTTTAAGAGGGATAAGGGATCTTTCAGAAAAGCCTTTATTTTCCGAAAGATCTGCGTCTAGACTGGTGCTTTTTTCTGGCAAAGCTCCGAGCTGGAAAAAAGCGGCAGCCCTTTTTATGCTAATAAAGCAGGGGGGATTTAAATCCCCGCTTCATTTGCAATTGCGATGTGTCTAATTTGCATCCCTTTTACGGAAAAGGGATACAGTCTAGACACAGCCCGAGTTACTACTGAATTGAAGAACTGTGTCTAATGAAATCTTGTTGAATTTAGTTTTCATTCAGGGGCAATTACTCCATGAGGCTAACTCAGAACTCTAATTAGTGTGTCTTCAGAGGTGAGTTGGGCACAAAGGAGTCTGCACCAGTTTGGGTGGAGAAGATAAAATCATCTCCCCAGGCCTACCTGCTCCCAGTTTAGGGTTTATACAAAGGATCTGTGTAATCATTGGTCCTCTAGACATGTTTTTCACTACATCCCTATTACCAAATGCTCCTCTGCAAGAAAATGGAAACAAACATTCACAGAACATAACTCTGCATGATACATGGAGCAAAGATCCTCCAAACCTTCATTCCTCTGGAGCCAAACCACTTCAGTTCTGCTAACTTTCAGATTTGCTAATACTGCAAAATGGAAGCAGGACTTATCCCCAGTGAGTAAGAACCAGTGATAAATGTGTTATACTGATCAAAAGGGATTTTTTTTGAAGGACATACCACCTATGATAATAGGGAAAAATGTTGGTTTTCAGTGGCCCATCTTATTATTTTAAGCTCTTCTTTGCTCTTTTCCTCACAAGCTTGCAGCTAACTAGGGGCACAGCTACACTCCAGGATTATTTCAAAATAGCATAGTACACATTTGCACAGTAAGCCGTTATTTCAAAATAATTTTGAGCTGGAGGATGTCTTACTCTGACTCCTGGAATCCTCATTTCATGAGGAGTAAGGGAAGTCGAAGGAAGAGAGTTCTTCCTTTGACTTGCTGCTGTGTAGACAGTGCCCAAAGCCGAATTAAGCTATTTTGATTTCAGCTGCACAATTGACGTAGCTGAAGTTATGTATCTTAATTCAAGTTTTTCCCTGAAGTGTAGACATGCCTTAGCTATTTACATTTATATCATACATCCTGTGACAGTCCTATGCCTTTCATTCTGGTGGAGCTTATTTGAAACTTCCTCTAAGACTCAATGTTCATGCTTTCTTAAGACAACTCTTAGCTCTCAAGCCCCACCCAGTCAGAGGACCAGGGGTCTGTGCACTGAGCTGATTAATCAGCTCAGTGCACAGACCCCTGGTCCTCTGACTGGGTGGGGCTGATTAATCAACTGTGAAACTGTGTTGCTGCACATCTTAGAGGGAACACTGTTCTCAACCATCTGTCTCTATTTCCCTTATATGAGAAAAATCACATAATTTAGGTTCAGATCCTTGAAGGCAGGAGTTAGGCACCTAAATATCTTTGAGGATCTTGCTCTTAGTTAGAAGGGATGGGGCTGGAGCAGGCAGCTTTCAGCACCACCCTGACTGAGCTGTGCTGCACCTGTCCCCCACCCAGACCTCAGAGCTGTCAGAATCATGATGCAGAGAATTCCAGTAAAGGGCCCGGGACTTTGGATGCCACAGCTGCAGTGCATCCAGAGTCCCAGTCCTTTTTGTATCACCAGGTCCCAGGGCAACTGCCTCTTTTGTTCCCTCTTGTTGGTGGGCCTGGGTTAGCATGATTCTCATTTGTATTAGGGATACTTTATACCACCTTATTTACATTGTTTAAGGCCATTTCGAATTGCCTGAGAAACATAAAAATCACTATGTATAAATGAGAGGCTTCATGACTTTTCTTATGTCTGAAAAGAGTTTAGCAAACTATGGCCCTGTACCTGCAAGAAGACATGGCTCAGAGCCACAAAGGGATTAACTGCCTAAGATGTTGACTTTAGCCGCCAAAGTCTCTGTTTTAGGTGCTGTTACAATTCACAAAACTCCCTTTAAACTTGTAGCCCACTGGTGAGAGCACTCACACAGGATATGAAAAATCCAGATTTAATATCCCCCTCTACTTCAGGAGCAGAAAGGACATGAACAGGGTCCTCCCAGTTCTCAGGAAGGTGCTCTAACCCCAGGCTATGGGATATTCTGATATAGTGCGCCCTCAGCCTCCAGTTGAAGCTATTCTACCTGGGGTTAAATCCTTAAAGAGATACTGGAGGAGGGGGATAGGACTTGCAACCCCCATCTCCCAAGCTATAGTTATTGTCACTCTCTTTGGCCCCTCATTTTTTAAGAGGTTATTCAAAGTGGAGCAGTTTTAACTAGAGAGACTGAGCCCCACAGCAAAATATCCTACAAGAGTGGCTACAGCATTCTTTTCTGAGAGGTGGGAGACCCGTGGTCAAATTCTCCCCTCTCCCTCCACCCTCAGGCAGAGAGGAAGTTAAACCCAGGTTTCCCATGTTCCAGGTAAATATACTAATCATGTGGCTAAAACGTATAACAGAATTGCTTCTTCCTCCCCTTCAGCATTTCTTAGTACCTCCCATTGGTTAGCTTAAGTAGTACCCCATTTGCCATGTTGGTTTTGTGGCTCTCATTCTGTGGCTCCTTGCATTGTATACTGCGTCTAGGCAGCTAATTTAGCCTTTGTGGATCCCAGTGCTGTTCAACATCCTGTAGCCTTTCCTGAAACTGAATTGAGTTAGTAATCAATAATTCCATGTTAAACCACAGTGTCCCTAGTGAGAGAGTATGTCTTCAGTGTTGCTATAGTTTTAAGATGGGAGGTGTGAGAGTCACCCTGAGGATTCTCTTAAGTTGGGAGACTCTTGGAGTATATGAAGAACAAATATAGTGACCACAAACACAGTTACATGTAAGACATCTTGACAGTAATACAAGTTTCACTAAGCAGATAATTTAAGTTATAATCACAGACACATATACAAAACCCGAGAGATTCTATGAAATAGTGAATGCTGAATTCAGACTCACTTATGCAAATATATCCAAGTTATCTAGATTTGTTGATAGATTTCCAATGACTGATGGGGGGATCATTCTATTCATACCAGGAACCATTATTATTCTGTGTTACGACCATGTTCTGCATGAGTGTACCAACCCCCTATATCTTATCTCAACTTGCACTCCCCTCATATGTTGTCATACCTCATTTCTTATAGGTTGTTTCAATTAGTTATCCTTATTTTCATTAGGATCTATGTCAACATGTTTCCATGGTAATGTGTGGTAAGAACAGAACCTGATGTTACAGGTAGGTGTCTTGTATTCTAGATTGCAGCATATTTTCCTGAACATTCTCTATTGTTCCATTAATCTTGTAATTTTATTGGTCCTGGGTCACTTTTTATGTGAAACTTCCTTTGACGTGAGACCTGATATAGCTAAGATGAAACCTCACAGGCCTCAACCTCTAGGCCTGGCATTATGACTTTACCTTGCCTGTATACGTAATACATACTCATGACTCCTAAACACTTGTGACTCTATACCTACAACTTTAAAATCTATTAGACACATGCTAATTCATATGTTATTTCACATGCATTCAAGCACAACACTAGAGAATACAGTTACATGGTTAAATAAGACTACTGGCTACAATACCTAAAAGTTGAGTCTTGCAATGCCTAGGTATTTGAAAGAAGTTCAATATTTCCCCATCTCCCCCCTAAAGTCCTGGAATTGAGGGAGCTTCTTGGAATAGAGGCATTCAGATTAGGTAGTACTCAAGAGATCAAACTCTCTCTGAATAAAACAAACAAACAATAATGTGTCATTTTGGGAGACGGAGGGATGGGGGGGGAGGGGAATCCAACAATACAGTAACTAATAAAGAAAAAAAAGGCATTCAAATAAACCAGACATATTTCCTCCAAATTGGGATGAGAAGATGTAACAATCCTACATAAGATTTTAATTAATGTCCATGTAACTAAAAATGTATTTAATTCATAATAACATTGAGAAAACATATTGACGTCTAATTATGGATCATAGAATTTGCTGCAGTGAAAGTGCGGTGCATCTGTTCAGTGAAACATAATCTCGGAGAATGCTAAATGGCAAAACATAATGAAAATGGGAACTGATACATAAATGAGACCATTAACTACAGCACAGTGTGAGACAAAAAAGAGTTTGGATATTCAAGCAAAGAGCTCATAGACAGGGTACTGTAGATGATAATAGAAAGTAATATTGTTTAGTAAGGGGTTCTTCCTTATTGTTTTCCTTGTGAATAGCAGGATTTCAGCTGTTGGAGGTTCTTAATGGAGAATGCTCTCTGGAAGTTGACATGAAAATTTTCAATGCTTAGCTGACAATCAGAAAAATGTGGCTATGGCTACTCACAGTAACTGTTTCATTCTTTGCAGCTAGCACTGTATTTATTGTGCTTGATTCTTCTTTACAGAACAGCAGTTTTCCAGGATAATGGAATTGCTGGAGTAAGTAAAAAGAGAACTGAGAGTATTACATTTTTAGCAAAAGGTGTCTGGCTTTTTTGATTACTAATCTTGATGGCCTAAAAATAAACTGATCAAAATACTAGAAAATGTACATTAGGAAAGAATCTTTCATTGGCATGGAGATGGAATGGGTGGGAGTAAATGATCTTTTCTGTTTCTCACTTCCAGGATTCTATTGTGTACCTTGTAATGTTCATATTGTAAAAAAAGACATATTCTTAAGCAAAGGTCACAATAGAAGTACAAATTTTTTTACATAGCCTAGTTCTGTAAATATAAAGTCTTGAGAGAGTACCAAAAATACAGGCCTGTTGACTAAAAGTGCTATTTTTATGTAGTTACATTTTTACGTAGTTACATAGACACACCTTGTTAACTAGCCACTTCCACAGTCATGACAAATAAATGAGTAACAAATTGATTACCCGTAAATAGGCTATTTTATATTATAATATCCAACAAGCAGATGCCTAATTAATACATCTGGTAAATTACACCTTTACAAATATGGTTGCAAACTTGAAAGTTGGAAGCCTGTGGTTACTCAACTCTCATTTTTACTGAAACAAGACTTCTAATAAGCTGTAGTTGTGTGAAGAATAGTTTTGTTTGACCTTATTGAAATGAAGCCCATCAATACTTTTTATCATTAATTTTGGCAAAATTGATACATCCGTATGAAATGTTTCAGTTTCGTGGAATCAGCATTATTTGATGGAAAACTGTCTGTCCTATCAGACTCTCTTCAACCATCTCAGAGAGCAGAGGAGGGAGTGTAGCCGGCCAGAGTAAGTCTTAGGTCCGACACTGGGCTCTCAAGGTACAAAATACGGCACACAGTTATCTGTCAAAGACAAGTAGTTAAATTTCCTGACAGTAGTAGCTTCCAGCAATCAGGAGGAGAAATTGCAATCAGAGCTCTGTCCATAGCAAGATTCCTAGGCTAAAATATCCTTAGATTCTCTGTGTGGGTGTTCTGTGTGCATTCTAGTCATAAGCACAGGCTCTGTGGGTGCTCCTGGTCTGGAGCACCCACAGAAAAAATAGCGGGTGCTCAGCACCCACTGGCAGCCCCACTGATCAGTACCTCCCCCAGTGCGTACTGCCCACAGGTAGGCCTGCCCATCTGCTTCCTCCCTCCCTCCTCTCTGCCTCCAGCCCACTAACGATCAGTAATTCAGCAGCATGCAGGAGGTGCTGAGCTCCATGTGAGGGGATAGAACTTGGGGGGAAGAGGTGGGGTAGGGATGAGAACTCAAGGAAAGGGGTGGAGTGGGGGGCGGGGCCAGAGTCAAGAGTCTCTCAGGATCTCAGGGAAAGGAGTGGAGTGAGGGCAGAGCCTGAAGTCAAACCCTATTCTCCCTGGAACTCAGAAACTTGGCATCCCTGTTTTCAGTAGCATGTAGGAGTTGTGCGGCAGTGGAGCAAGTTCAGTGCAGGTGAAATTTGCAGATAATGTGTCAGCCAAACTCTTGCTGGCCTTTACTGAGCATGTCTGATTTTTTCACAGGGTAATAATTTGGACAAATTTGGATGGATTTGTTCAAGTATGGGGGAAAGACATTTTACAAATATCGGTGTGGCTTCTTGTGAGCTTCATGCTACCAAGCAGAGAGGTGCTAGGGCTCCTCAGTGAAATGGCTGTAAGAAGATAACATTAGTAAGAAAACATATGTCCCCCTAAATTCTTTCTTGGAAATAGCAGGCTTTATTTTGCTGAATGGTGTCTGAATTTTTCAAAAAGAGGCAGACATCTGGCATTGTTCTGCCTGAATGGTTAAAAATTTGGAAAAATTATAAGAAACTGGTCCATAAGGTCTTATGATGGAAAGTGTCAGATAACCCTAAGTGGCAGTGTTGCTACTAGTTCCACCTTTCACATTTTACCAACCTATAAGTGAATAGAATAACTTGAATTATGTCGTCTACCCTTTTTTTGTGTTGCAAAAGTAATCACCAGATTGTCATTTCTTTAAAAACAGACTCGCTGATGTTAGAACTCATGTTCAGTCATAATTCTTTTCTTTTCTCTACAAAGCCTCTGACATTTACTTAAATTCCCGGATAGCACTATGCATGAAATTCTTTAATAGACGACTCAAAGCAAACTTCAACTTAAAATCTCCGTGTTTCTATCTCATGCAATATCTTTTTGACTCTTTGCAAGAATGCTTATGTAGTATCTCCATATTAAATTAAGGATTAAAAGCAGAGATTACTGAGCAATTAAAACATGAGCTATGAGGGAAGACTAAAAGAATTGGGATTGTTTAGTTTAGAAAAGAGAAGATTGAGGGGACATGATAGCACTTTTCAAATATCTAAAAGGGTGTCACAAGGCGGAGAGTGAAAAATTGTTCTTCTTGCCTCTGATAATAGGACAAGAAGCAATAGGTTTAAATTTCAGCAAGGGAGGACATTAGGAAAAACTTCCTGTCAGGGTGGTTAAACACTGGAATAAATTGCCTAAGGAGGTTGTGGAATCTCTATCACTAGAGATATTTAGGATTTAAGAGCAGGTAAGAAAGACATCTATCAGTGATGATCTAAATGGTGCTTGGTCCTGCCATGAGTGGAAGGGACTGGACATGATAGTTTCTTGAGGTCCCTTTCACTTAGGCTACGTCTACATTGGCATCCCTTCTGGAAAAGGGATGCTAATGTAGCACGTTGGAAGAGGCAAATCAGCGGGGGATTTAAATATCCCCCGCAGCATTTGCATTAACATGGCTGCCGCTTTTTTCCGGCTTGGGGAAAAGCCGGAAAAAGCGCCAGTCTAGACGTTATTCTCTGGAAAATAAAGCCTTTTCTGGAGGATTTCTTATTCCTACTTGAAAGGATTTCTTATTCCTACTTTTCCTCAAGCCGGAAAAAAGCGGCAGCCATGTTAATGCAAATGCTGCGGGGGATATTTAAATCCCCCGCTGATTTGCCTCTTCCAACGTGCTACATTAGCATCCCTTTTCCAGAAGGGATGCCAATGTAGACGTAGCCTAAGTGAAAGGGACTCTATGATTTTATGTAAAATATTGCTGTCCTTCTACAATTCAGCTCCCAATGTATGAACTTTTCCAGTTATTTCTTATGCATGGGTGTCATGCAATGAGGTACATAGGGTAAGTCTACACTAGCCCCCTAGATTGATCTAGGGAGGCTAATGAGGGTGACCGGAATTGCAAATCAAGCCCGGGATTTAAATATCCCGGGCTTGATTTGCATGTTCCCAGCCGGTTGCCAGTTTAGAAATTGACTAGCCCGAAGTAACTGCTCGCGTCTACACGTGGCAGTGAAATGGGATTCCAGAATAAAGCCCTAAATCAAATTAGGTGGTATTCTTCATGGTACTCACCTAGGATGTGGGAGACCCAGGATAAATTGCACATCTGCCTTTAGGGTAGAGGAGGGGAAACTGATTGAACAGGGGTCTCCTATCTCTAAGGAGAGTGCTCTGACTACTGAGCTATGGGCTTCTGATACGGGGCTCCATCATCCTCTCCTGTTGACGCTGTTCCACTTCAGATAAATAAATAATCAGGGTAGCAAAGAGACTGGCTCTAGGGCATGAGTGGTGGGTGAAGGCCCAGCTGGGAAAGGCAAGCCCCAGCCCTGTACCTCCCAGAACCCTGCACCCCATGGAGCCAAGCCTGGCCCCCAACCCACTGTCCTCAGCCCCTGAACATCCCCAGGACCCTCAAGGTATGTCTAGACTACATCCCTCTTACTCCAGGGGGATGTAAATTAGACATAC